GAGATTTAAAACTGTTAGCACCATTACTTAACTTTTTTTAATGATTTTTGTCAATTTTTAACTTATTACAAAACATTTCTCAAGTAAGCCTTTGTGAAATAGTAAAACTTTACTTAAAATAATAAAGTCTTGAAAAAAACTCAATTAAATTAATAAAACTTCTACTTATTTTAATTCTAATATCAGTAGTATAGGTGCAAATGTTTTAATTTAATAATTGTAAATGTTTATATTTGATTTGTAAATATTTAAATTAGAGTTTTAAATTTTAAAAATGGTTTTTAAAAATTTGTTTTTTTTCTTTCGAGGAAGCCATTTTGGCACTTGTCGTAACGGCGCGGTTTTACCATTCTGTAAAATATTCAATATATTTACCGAGAATTTTCGTAACGAAAAGTTTCGTTGATTACCGAGTTTGGGGTGCCCCGTTTTAAAGTCCGCCAAAAAAAAACATGTCACGACATATATATGTCATATAAAGATATATATTGTTTTTCTTTACTATATAAACAATCTTTGTATAATTTATTTAACTATATACATATATAAATATAAAACACATATGTTATCTAACAATTATCTAAAAAGTAATTGTGACTTCTTTATACGAGAAGTCACAATTAAATCGCCATTATTAAAACACCGTTTAATAATTTTAATAATGACATTTTGCGTCATTAGACATAATAAAAAGCAAGGGCTGTCGACTTATTAATATTTACATAGTTAAGAGTGTAATCGTAGCGCAAGGCATTCTGGGATGTCCTGGTAGTATAAGAATTAAGTTTACACAACAACAAACTTGGCTGAAACTCTGCAAAGTTTTCTGTTTTATATTGTTTTATTCTTTAATAAGTAATACTCTTTGTTGTTCAGAAATGCCTTCAAACTGTGCTGCAACCAACTGCGCAAATACGAGTGGAATTTTTGCATCAATTATTTTGAAAGTTCAATTTTTATTTAACAAACACTGAGGGAAAATGCCTTCTCCATAATACCATTTCTACAGTATTCATGTTTTAAATATAGTCTCATGGCATCACATTCAGACGATGTATAAAATAGAAAGACGTAAATGCAGTTCTATCTGTCATACAATTCATGAAATTCTTGGAGCATTGTTTGAATTAGTTAGAATTGTCAACTGTTATACTGACTTCTTATTGACCAACCAATTTGCTGATAAAAATAATACTCATTTTAATTTAATAAATTCAAAGAAGTTTCATGCTGATAAACCTGCTATATGTGATATAACAACAAAGAAAAATAACACATTACAAAGTAAAATAACATGTTACTGTTGAGGGTATTTCAACTTCGGATTAAGAAATGAATGTCTTGTATTTTAAAACCTCTACCTCATTAGAGAATAAATGTTACAATAACTAGTATGTTAAAATGGTGTCAGGAGCTTTAAAAAAAAATATTTAGAAAGTTTGATTAGAATTATTCAGAGCAAAGATGGTTGAAATGAAAGACTTTCGAACAATTTGGATTAGCTTACCTGAATGTTTTGTTGTTGTTGTCATTATAAACTAGCTTTAAAAACAATTGTCTTAAAGAAATAGATTTTAGCGTTGTACTGTATATAAATGCTTTATTTACACTTAAAAAAACTAAATAAACAAGATTGCCTATTTTTTGCTGACAAAAAAAAATCAATTTTTATAAAGAAAACTATTGTTCAATGCAGATTTATCTAGCTTGTTAAAAAAGGGGTCTGACTGTGTCAACAGTGTGTGGTAATACTTTTTGGAAAAGCGATGGATATTAGGCATGGTTTTGAGACCAATATGAAAACAAACAACCAAAATTGTTCACCAAAATCTTTATTTATATCATTGATTTGTTATATTCTATTTAACATTGTTTATGGAATTTGTTGAAAAGTGGCTTCGTGCTAAAAACCTAGCTTTTAGATGTTATCTAAAATCATGGAATTCTGTACTTTTAACATTTTATTTAAAGATTCTTTTAACATACCTTTTACTAATAAAAAAAAAGTTGGTATATTTGTCAGAACAAGAATTTTGTCTATTATTCGGCTGTACAAGATCTATGTAAAGGAAATAAAAAAAAAACTTCAATATTGATAATTATTAAATAATGCCTTTATGTTTTTCTTTTAACAATCTGTTTTGATTTTATGAGTTAATGTGTGTGTATATACACACATACAAACATACATACATCATGTAGTTATTTATAAATGTATGTAAATACATACATACATTTATATATATATATATATATATATATATATATATATATATATATATATATATATATATATATATATATATATATTGAATATATATTATATATTTAAAATATATATATATATATATATATATATATATATATATATATATATATATATATATATATATACATGTATATATATATATATATATATATATATATATATATATATATATATATATATATATATATATATATATATACATATATATATATATATATATATATATATATATATATATATATATATATATATATATATATATATATATATATATATATATATATATATATATATATATATATGCATACATATGTATGTGTGTGTGTTTAAACTTTAAACTTGAAAATGATAACTTGCTATGTAAATATTACATGGTAAATTATTTTATCAAGTTTCGTTCGAAGTTTTTCAAGTTGGTTTATTATTATGACCCGATAAGCTTTATTAAGACATGATATATTTAATACTACACTGTGATATTGCTGCTCTTTTGAAAAATGAGAAACCTATAATTCTAATATGGAATTTTTATGAGAAAGTTATATCAGAAACCTATAATTCTAATATGGAATTTTAAAAATAATGTCTAAATAGTATAAAAAAAATAAGATTAATTCTATGAATAGTTTACAAAATGATTTAAGCGCAATCAAAGTTGAAAACAACGTATTTATTTGTTTTTTAATGATATACTACCAGGGTATCCCACAATCCTCTGGAAACAAATTACAAGTTTTTACGCGAGTCGACAGCCCTTGATAAAAAGGTTTTTCAAAACTGATAAATTTTCTTACGAGAAAAAGACGTTCATAAGACGTCTTATTATAGTTCATATTATGAATAAATCGAGCGGACGTAAACTGAACGTACATAAGACGTCGTTTTTCCGTCGCGTGCCCACTGGGAATGGGTGTATTATTGTTGGTGCCTCAGGAACACATACTGTATGCGTCTGTGCTATTCATCAGAGTTTGAAACTGCTTTTACATCCTCTTGGTGTGGTATACAAAGAATTGTTACTTTATATTGTCTGTGATATAACTAATAAAGACTGTATGATTAGGAAATCTGAAAAATGACCAGCAACTATGAATGCATTGGTTGAAAAATTTTATGATATACTTGGAGAATTTGAAGATGATGATGAGAATGAATTTGATCAAATGACAACAACAGATAAGTCAAACTTGACACATAATAAAGAGCCAGTGTTTGAATACATTGAACTAGTATGTAGAAAACTGGAAAAACTTGCACCACATTCGTATTTAGCAAAGAGTAAAGCATTATACCTGAGATCAAGAAAGGTAACATATAGGAGATAAAGGCATTATTTCTGGGTGATTTTTCAGAAAACTATAAATTTGTATTTCAGGATGAAGTGCAAAGCTTTCATTGACAAATTTAAAACGTACACCTCATCCAGTGATTATTTATTTCAAAAAAGAAGGCATTCTCAAGCACAAATCCTATTGTATTATTTCGGATAATATGATCCATGATGTGAACATGGTTTATAAAATTATTGAGGTTGTTTGGAATGATATAAAAACAAATTTGCATCAAATAAAAAATATTGAATACTTTTCAGATGGGTGTGCAGGTCAATATAAGAATTGCAAAAATATGTTAAATCTTTGTTTCCATTGTGAAGATTTTGGTTTTACTGCTAAATGGAACTTTTTTGCAATTAGTCACGGTAAGCAACCTTGTGATGGGATAGGTGGTACAGTCAAACGTCTTGCAACACTAGCAAGTTTGCAAAGAGGTATGGGTAATCATATTTTATCTCCACAAGCAATGTATAAATATTGCAATGAAAACATTAAAGGCATAAATTTTATATACATTTCATCAGAAGATTTAACTTCGGTAAGAACCACTCTTAAAGAACGATTGGATACTGCTAATACAATACTTGGAACACGTAGTTACCATCAGTTTGTACCACTTGACCATCAAAAGGTAAACTATTATTATTTAATTATACCTTTTACCATATTTTAAAATGCACACAACTTTTATTATTAAACTCAAATAGATATTAGATTTTCGCAGAATTATTATCAAAAATATTTGTATTTTATTTTATTTCCTCTGCATTTGCTATCTATGCATTTAATAAAACATGTTTGATAAGTAAAACGGAATAATTGCATATGTTACCATTTTGTTTAGGTAGGCACTAAGCTATGAAGAATTTGCATTAATTCATGACTTTGGAAATATCCAGATAACAACTGTAAACATAGTACCAGTTAATTATGCCTGTGTTTCCTATGAGCAAAAGTGGTGGATAGGAGTCATTGAAGATATTAATTTAGAAGAAAAAGATGTGCTTGTAAAATTTATGTGTTCTAATGGTCCTGCGCTGTCTTTTAAATGGCCACCAAAGGAAAGCCAATGCTGGATTCCTGATGCCAACAATATTTGCAAAGTTGAGGTACTGATAACAAAAACAGGACTTTGCTACTATTTAGCCAAAAAGGATTTAAAAAATTTTTTTTTCCTAAGGAAGTAGAGATTTTTATATTAATGAGCCTATTATGTCATTTCCATTCTTTTTTTAAATATTATGTTTTGTGAACCAACTTGTAAATAATGTGAATGTAAAGCATATATAAAATCACTAAAGTTTAGTATTTAAAAAAAAAAATTATATACGTTTAAATTTTGTTGTAAATATCATATGAAAATGAAAAAGATAATAAAGTCACTAAATTTTTAGTTTCTAATTTGATTGATTGGTAAAAGATGGGGTTATATTAAGTGTCTAATTTAAAAAATATTAAAAAATTTTGTGTCTATATCAAACATCAATAATTCCTCAAGTAAATATAAGGCCAAAACAAAATTGGTTCGAAAAGTAGGTGTTGATCTTATTTTTAAGAAAATCGAAATTAAATTTTTTTTATATCAGTCAGATTTTTTTTATAGCTTTAATTGTCAATGCCCTTTTTTTTATCTCGGCGTTATAAAGTGTATTTTATGAATCTTAAAATAAGCGACATTCCCTTGTTTTGACATATAAAAAACTATATTATTCGGATTTAACAGGTTATAAATTCTTTTGGTACAAAGTTTAAGAATTGTGGCATCACTACAAACACCATTTTAAGGTGAAAGTAAACAGAATGATTTTCAGCACTTTTCCCCCCTCAGTTTTTAGTCAAAATCAAGGAAACTTCAAATTGCTGTAAATTATAAACGGTAAGGAATTTTATGAAAAAAAATTACAATCTTTCCTAACATATGTCTATAAACAATTGTGCCAAGTTTCAAAAATTTTAGTGTTATAGGATGCAGATTTGTGTTTTTTGAGAAATTTTAACGCGTATAAATTTGTATTTAAATGTTTAATGTTATAATATATATGCCACGTGGACAACTAATTCGTGGTAGTAATTAATTTACTACAAGTGTTAGTAACTAAAATTAAAAGTAATTAAATTACTGTTAGTGTTAGAAATTAAATTAATGACAACTACCGAAAGTATGTTGTTTATATGCTATGCAAAGTAAGGTAGCCATAACAACCAAAAACTTTGACCTGATAAAGAATTGTAAATCTTATTTTAATACATTCTCACAATATTGTGTCCTTAGCGCAAATAAAATACTGTTAAAACAACGTTAATGTAAAAGTAAGCTGTTGCTATGCAAAACTCAGTACCATAGTAGCCAAGTTAAAACATATAAAATCTGAACGGGGATTTAAGGGGATGAGTAATCAATTAAAACTTGATTATATAGCTTAAATAGATATGAGACAGCACATGGAAAATTATGGTAACTATTAGTTATGGTAACTATTAGTGCGACAAAAAATAAAGTTCTTGATGATTTTTTTTTATTTCAAAGTATAACTGAGATAACATGCTATTATATATTTATTTCACACATTGGTTTTTCTTATCTTTAAATAGTAAATAAATAATATGTACTAATTATTTATTTCAAAAATGTAGATGTAATTGAAATATAACACAGCGTTAATGTCACCGTAAATTACTTATTTCATTTTTTTATTTTTTTTATTTCAATATTTAAATGCTTAGAGTTCTGGTAACTAAGGGATTTAATATAAATAAATTATCAATAAATTTTTCTTAATATATGTAGATACTAAAATTAAATAAGTTTTTAAGGATATACAACTAAACTTTTTTCCATTTTGTCCAACTACTGGCCCACTGTGCATTGTTTGATTTCAAGTCAATACAAGTGAGATATAAAACAAGAGACATAATGTGCTGTTAATTTTCCGAACTGGTCGTTCAAAACTGCTAGAAAAACATTCTGTTGAAGAGCAGAATGCCAATAAGAACGGCATTAGTAAGAATCAAGTGTGCGCATGGCCTACTTAAATTACACGGCCTGATTTGTTGCATTTTCCGTAAAAAATTAGGAGGCCAGTTTTTTTACGGCTCAAGTATAAAAACTTAATTTTCACTATGGTTATGAGTCTTGTTTGCACTATAATTGGTTTATTCTTATTTTATTAAAATGGTTTAATAATAGTTAGATTTTATTTGAGTACTTACACTTTTTTGTGCTGGAATTTTTGTTAACTGATTGCCTGCTTCAGTTTATTCCAATTACACAGAATACTGAAATAGGCTTTCAGATAGCTATATCAACACATATTAACATGCTACTAAAAATAACCTTACATGTTGATAAAACTACCCACAACTCTCCATTGGAAACAATTATAAAGGTTTGTAATTTTGTATTTATAATAATTGCAGTTATTAGATATAAAAAATCGATTTTTCTTTAAAAATATTTACACTGCAAAACAATGTTTTGAAATACTCTACTATGTTGCATGTTTCATACATACAGCAATTAAAATGCAACAAAACAGGCCAAGAAATATCATGCATACCAACTGTTTTGAAGTCAATATCTAATAATAAAATTCCTAATTTTTCATTGCCTAGTAAATGCTTATCATATTTCATATTTCTTTATTAAAATGGTTTCGCAGTGGTGAAAATTACAAATTAAAAAACTATATTATATTAGAAATATTATTGACAAAAATTCTTCTCATAATACTGAAAGCTTCTTGTGGTTAAGATGTACTTCCAAAAAGCAGCTCAATATCAAAGTTGTAAACAACTTGATGAAGATTGAAAAAATAATCTTTATAAATCTGTTTTTGTTTTTATTTTAAAATCCTCACCAAAAGTTTACATATCAAGTTTATGTTTGAAAAAAGAAATTGATGAGTGTATTACTTCAATGCACCAAATTTAAGATAAAGGCTGTTGTGACAGATAACCATTCTACCAATGTAAATGCATTTTTATAGTTTCATAAAGCATATATTGGTGATGGAACACTATTAATTTATCATTCAGTTTAAAAAAGGAGTGTAAAAAACAAACTTATTATTTGATATACTTCGTTTTATAAAAAATGTAAGGAAAAACTTATTAAACGCAAAAAAAAAAAAAATTAGTCTTTTTCATTTTATTTTTCCAGAGACTATGTAAAGTTACTGCTAGTTGCATTGCAGGGAATATATTTTTTAAAGTTTATTAAAAGATTAGTTATTAAACAGGCAAGTAAAATTAATTATCAAGTCACATATTTTGGAAACAACAAACAAGTTGTCAACAATGATAATAATCGACGAAACAACTGCAGCTGTAATTTAGAGTTATTTTCCTGAAAGAAATAATGCAACACACTTTTAATCATTATTGTATAATTATTTTAATCATTATTATATAATTTATTTACCATGCTTAATTCAGAACAGAAACTTAATTTATCCAATCAAACTCAGCAACGTTGCTTTCAAAGGTGATAACAAACCCACACTTCATAGAGAAATTGCAAATAGTACTGAAATTTAATCAAAATAAAATTTGATAAATACTTTACATTAACCAAAAAAACTTCTTGTGCTTATATAACAACACTAGCAATACAAGCAACTGTATCTCTTATGAATGATTTTTTTGAAGAAGGCTTTGCAGTTGTTTTTAGTTTTAATTTACAAAGTAAATTAGAACTAAAACTGGAGCTAGGTTTTAGTAAGTATAATTAAAAATATGCATTTATAAAAAAAGTAAGTATAATTAGTAGTGATGTACCGATTAATCGGTATCGGCATCGGTATTGGCTTAATCGGCCATTTTTTGTACAATTGGTATCGGTATCGGCCTTTTTTACTGATTTTCCAACCGATGGCATTTTGATATTTTTATCCTGCATTATTATAATAATTAAATAATAGATAAACTAAACTTTGTGCATTACTTGGATAAATTTTTATTTTGACTTAGTTTGCAAGCAAAAGCTTTAAAAGTAACCTGTTTAAGCATTGTTATTTATATATTTTTAATTATTTTTTACTCCCAATAAGAATTCAAGCAACCACTATCAAAATAGGAGTTGCTAGAAAAAAAGTGTAGAGTTATAGAGCAATGAAGTGGTTGACATAAGACTTAACAAATTGAAGGTTGTATGAGTCAGTAAAACATGTAGATGGGACAATAAAAGACAAATAAAAGTTTTTGGAACATGAAGAGACAGATACAGTCAAAGAATGAGACTTTGATGAATGACAAGTCAAGTGAGAATGAGTTTTGATGGAACTAAAGATGAAAGCTCCTTTGAGCAGCAACCATTATAGTATTTGTAAAAAAGAAAAATTGCATTGCAACTTTACGATAATGGGAAAGAGGCTCAAGCTTTGCAGATGGACCAGGTTCAACTCTGCTTACAATACGTTTTTAAACCTTATCTTGAAGAAAAAGAGCATCATTAGAAGAACCAGCTCAAATATGATAACAGTATTCCATACAGGGACAAATAAGAGATTTGTAGAGGTAGGGAATGGAATCAGGAGAAAGAAAATGGTGAGTACGATAAAAAGAATCAACCTTAGCAGATGCTAATTTAGCAATCGATTGTATATATCGTTTCCTTGAAAAGTCAGTAGTAAATGATAATTCAAGAAGACGTAAAGAAGTAGAATCAGTGAGAGGGTTGCCATTTATCAATAGACAGTGCTACAATAGTTATTCGTCTGACAGCAAGTTATTTGACTCGAGATGGAATGTGTGAAATTTGTTTATCAAAGACTCAAAGTTTACCTAAGTGTTTAAAAATTAGAACAACAGATGTCATTTTCCAGCAGGCAGGAAAACAAGATTCAGTCAAGCACTTATTAAATAGTTTAGAGAAAATTGAAGAGAATTCTGGAGAACAATTTTGTTAGACTGTGACAGGAACGTTGTCTGGACCACAAGCCATAGAAGAGTTATAGACTATGACTATGAGCAATGGAAGCTGAAATGATTTGAATGTCTAACAATGGGTTAACTTGTTTAATTAGAATGGAAGGAAGATAATGGCCATAAGATTCGAGAATCGGATTATAAGAGAATTTCTTTGCAAATAGTTCAGCCTTATTTCATGTATTTAAGTATTGCCAAGTACCAAGTATATTTCTAAATTTTTAATTTTTTTATTTTCATTCACCTCCCTAATGCCACAAAGGCCACTTCAATTAAGAAGAATACTTTAGTTATGATTACAACCCTCTTTCAACTTTATAACTCAGAAACACAAACCTTGATGAACAATGCCTCTGTGTGTAGAAACAAATTTTATGGTTTTATATTTTCCTATTTTTAATATATATTAATGATCTACCAAAAGCTTCTAACCTAATGACAATTGTGTTTGCTGATGATTCTAACCTATTTCTTTCTCATAATAACATTATTACACTTTTTAGCAATATGAACATTGACCTAGTCCAAATGTCTTAGTTTAAACAAGCTCTCACTAAATATTGATAAAACTAAATAGATTCTTTTTCATCCTTATGGTAAAAAGCACCAGCTGCCTAGCAACTTACCTTTTCTATTTATCGATATTATAGTTATTATTAGAGTTTTAGTTACAAGATTTTTAGGTGTATATATCGATGAAAATCTTACATGGAAATGCCACATTGCTAACTTGTGCAGTAAAATTTCAAAAAGTAAAGGCATACTATACAAAACAAGAAACGTTTTTGATAAAAATACCTTAATTAAAGTATATTATTCGTTAATTCATTGCCATATCAACTATGCAAACATTGCTTGGGGTAGCACTTAAACCTCTAAACCTAAACCTCTCTATCGGCAACAGAAGCATGTAGCACGCCTTATAAATTTTAAGGACCGTTTTGCTCACGCAAATATGATATGAAATATTTATATGATATGAAAGCACTCAATATATATGAGTTAAATGTTTTTAATATTCTTTGCTTTAAGTATAAATGCAAGACCCACTTATCACCCGTTTCTTTTCGTAACTTGTGTTTATAAAAAGATAGAAATAAATATATTCTAAGGAACGATAACTTAATTCGACAACCATTTTCTCAAACTAATTTTGGAAAATTTTTTATTTCGTTTCGCGGACCATTTCTATGGAATAGTATAGTTCTAAATACTTCTAAAGATTTTTCTCAAGAATGTAATTTTGATTCTTTTAAACAAAATCTTAAAAAACTCACTTTTTTAACTGAAAATATACTTATATACTTTTAAATTCTTGAAAATCCCTTATCTATATTAGTATATCTATATATTTAATGTACATTCTTTTTTATTTGTTTATTTTTTATCAACAAGCAATTATTTAACATGATTTATTTTAATGAATTATTTAACATATTTTAGTTTTTACGTTTTAGAACTCTTATATTGTAATATTGTATGTTTATTTATAATATTATATAACAAACTTTATATACTTTTATTATTAAATTTAATTTTGTAATAAAAAGAAATTGAACAAAAATAAATAATTATAAAGAATGAAAACATTGAAAAAAAAAGATCAATAGCGGTTTCTCTGTGACAAGACCTGATGGTCTTCTTTGAGTATTCGCGTTCTTTATAATTATTTTTATTCTTTATTACTTAACGATATCTTGACTTGTTAACTTTTCTTTTTTCTTTTTTATATTATTTGTATCTGTATCATAAATATTGTAATAAAGAACAAAAAAAGAGAAAAAAAAAAATTTCAAATTTTTAATAATTAGTAAATTCATCGGTATTGGCATCGGTATCGGCCTTTTCCCATCCATCGGCATCGGTATCGGCATCGGCCAAAAAAGTGATATCGGTACATCACTAATAATTAGAAACGTGCATTAGTAAAAAGATTTTCGTTCATTTGCCCAAAAAATAATTTAACAGAATTAATATCAAAATAATCATTAAAAAACATTATGCAAGATTTAGCTTAGTTGTCTACATAATTACAAGTGTCAGCTTTTTAAAAATAGCACAGATTTATATACTAAAGCAAGGAATAGAGGAGAGTGGTGCTGAATGGACCTTGTACTGAATGGACCATTAGAAAAATAAAAACTTAACAAGCTGTTAATTGATTTTTTTTAATTGCACATAATTTTTGTATACTCAAATTTTCTTTGATATTTTTGGTTTTACGTTATTCGTAATAATGCATTAATATTTGTATTTTTTGTGTTTTTTCGAGAAAAAAGTAAACTTTTATCTTTTCAATTTGTTTCAATTTACACTAGATTTTTAAGGTAAAGTTAACTATGAATAATAATAATATTATAGATACATATTTTATACTTTGTATAACATTAGAATGTTATGATTTACTGATTGCTGTGATTATATGGGTAACATGTACATTTTGGTTAGTGTACTGGATGAACCACCATTGATTGTACTGAATGGACCGGTTCATTTTTCGGCGAAGTAATTTATCGCGCTTCGACATGTTACTTACTAAAACAAAATATAGAAGTTTTTTGATCTAAATGAACTAAGGAGGTATGAATAAGGAAACAAGCCAAAATATCTAATAAACTTTTGTTAACGAAGACTTAAGGGTTTAAATTCAATTATTTAATATAATATTAAGGTAAGCAGATAATATAATGTTAAGTTAAGCAGACTAATAGCTTATATAATAGGTTAATAATTATTAATTTGTAGTTTGTTTCATTGTTTCAATAATTGAATATATCGTAATATTAATACGATATATAAATAAGTTGGTATTACTTTTAATAACATCTACCATATAACATTTGTTATATATACTATATATAATAAAAGTTATATGCTATATATGTTATATGGCATATAACATGCTAGATAAGCTATATGCTAGATACTGTATAATATATCTGAAATGTTATTCATACGTTTTTAAAAACAATGACAATTACCATGGTCAGTAGTTTTTACAATACAAAAAATCAAGTAATATCTAATAAAACCAAGAATAAAATTTCATAAATTGATTGTTATATTTAAATATTTTTATTTGCTTTATATAATTTACTAACGCTTGTTGATCATAACAAAAAAATTATCCTACATTCAAGCTTTTATATAATTTAGCATTTTATACATGTTATATGTGTGTGTGTGTTTAGATAATTATATATATATATATATATATATATATATATATATATATATATATATATATATATATATATATATATATATATATATATATATATATATATATACTTATATATGTGTGTATATATATATATATATATATATATATATATATATATATATATATATATATATATATATATATATATATATATATATATGAATATATATATATGAATATATATATATATATATATATATATATATATATATATATATATAAATATATATATATATATATATATATATATATGTATATATAATATAAAATATATATATGTATATATATAAATATCACACGTGGATCCGTAACGCCTTTATTTATATTTTTATATTCTAGTGGAATAAGTGTATTTATAGGTCTCTTAACTCTTCTGAGTGATCCATTTTCATCTAAATATTTAACAGTTGCTGCTCGTTGATCGTCGCTTGATTTCAAGATCTCTTCAACCTTTGCGGTCTTCCAAAGTAATCGAGATCTCTTATCTTCTTCTATCAGGTCAGCGTCACCAACATTTATTTCCAAACAACCAATATTACGTCGATATTTATGAAATTCCCTTAACTCTGTAAGATATTCCTTTTTCCATCGCATAATAAAATGATCAAGAACATATCTTAAGTGATCGTGTCGTTTGTTTATATCTAGCTCAATAGTATCATCACTAACAACTCCATTCAAGTTTAACTTTCGTCCAAATACAAGATAATTAGGTGTTAAGGCTTCTATACAAGGTTCATTATATACAAACGTAAGTGGTCGGTTATTTAAAACAGTTTCAATTTCTTGCAATAAGGTTAACATTTGTTCGAAGCTTAAACGAGCTTTTCTAACAACTTTTTTGAGGCATCGTTTGACCATTTTTATCATCCTCTCAAAGAACCCACCCCACCACGGGGCAGATGGTACATTTAATTGCCATTCAATTGATTTATTACTTGCAAATAGCTGTGTTTGTTCAGCAACAAACTGGGTACCATTGGTTGATATAATTTTGCTAGGGACACCTCTTCTAGCGAAAAAACGTCTTAATCCACGAATACATACAGAAGACGATACATCAGATACCAAATCCAAACAAATAGAGCGAGTGCTAGCACAGGTAAACAGAAAAATCCATCCTTTGTACATAATGTCACTGTCTCCATAAATGTTTTTAATAAATACAGGACCAGCATAATCTACTGCAGTATACTTAAATGGATAATCATCACATAAACGACTAAGAGGGAGAGGAGGAGATGGAGGGTACTTGTAAGGTAGTCCCTCAAAATATTGACAAACATAACACTTTAAAATGATGTTACGAACCAACCGTCTACATTGAGTAATCCAAAACTTAGTTCTTAGCTCGGAAAGAGTTTCTTTTAAGCCATTATGCTTCACTAATTTGTGAAAATATACAATCAACAACTTTGACAAACGACTACTGTGTGGAATAAAAATAGGAAATTTAGCATCTCTTGGAATTAAAGTATTGTCCATTCTACCGTGACATCGAATAATTACATCAACAACTCGAAGTCCAAGGTTGTTTTTTAATTGTTTAAAGTTTTTGTTTGTCATGATGTCACGTTGTTCATTTTGCACCCAGATTGTCTTTGCTCTTTCAATTTCGTCAGCTGATAAAGTAGGCTTTATGACGACACAAGTCTTTTGAATACGAATTTTTAAGCAATTTACGAATCTTAAAACCCAAGCAGTAATTCTATTTAATTGTTCATAACTACTAAATCTGTCAATATTAATAAATTCCAAATTAATGTTCAAGGGTTTGACAGTAGCTAACAAGCATATGTTACCTTCACCAACATTAGGTTCTAATAAATTATAAATAGGCCATGGGATTAAAATGTCATTAAGATAATCAGGACCTTTAAACCAAAGACTGTTATTCAAAATAAATTTAAACGAACTTCCACGAGAAATAATGTCTGCAGGATTTCGTGTAGACTCTACATATTTCCAAAACTCGATTGGGAATAAAGTACGAAATTTTACTAAACGATTTTCTGTGAATGCTTCATACTTTTGATTAGAATTGTTTAACCAGTGGAGACATATGGTAGAATCAGTCCAACAAATTTTGTTTATATTTAAATTTTTAAATTCACTTTTAACAGTCAACAACAGAGAACACAATAAAACCATTGCTTTTAACTCCAGTCTTGGAACAGTCATTTTGTTGACAGGGGCCACTCTAGACTTCGAGGCAACAAGAGTGGCAAAACATTGTGAATCGTTTATAATACATCTAAGATATATACAAGTACCAAAGGCTTTAAGGCTTGCATCAGCAAAGGCATGAAGTTCAAGTTTAACATTAGTATTGGATAAGTAAGAATCCGACAAAATCCAACGAGGTAAAGTTCTTTGTTTAAAGAACAAAAATCAAATATAATATCATGCCACTCCTCTAAAATATCACCAGACATCAAATCATCCCAAGAATATTTCGCAATACATAACTTCTGAAACAAGCACTTACATCGTACAATTACTGGGTTAATAAGTCCCATAGGATCAAAAAGACTAGCAATAAATTTCATAACATTTCTTTTTGAACAAATATGTTTATAGTGTGAAGTAATACCATTAAATGAATAGGTAAACTCGTCAGAATCCTTATCCCATGATTGACCAAGTACTTTAGTTTCAGTCATTCGTTTATAATTAAGTGGCTGAATCTTCTGTTCAAGCTTCATCGAGTTTGATTCAAACTTTCTAAGATTAAAATTTGCTTCGTGTAAGCAATCTCTAGCTTTAGTAAAAAAGTTTATGCATTGATTTAAATCATTACTACCAGAGTTTAAATCATCAACATGCAATGCTAACATCATCTTTTTAACAAAATCTGGATCAGCTTTAACATGTTTTTGCAGGTGAGTAGCTAATGTTGCGCTAAGTAAAAAGGGCGACGAAGTTACGCCGAATAAAACTCTGCATAAACAATATGTAGCAATTTGAGAGGATAAAATATTTTCACTATTAACTGTATCAACATTTTTGACCCATAAAAATTGAACAAAATCACGATCTGCATCTTTTAAGGATATTTGTAAAAATGCTTTTTCAATGTCAGAGATAAATGCATATTTGTAGCATCGAAATCGCAATAGTACACCAAACAAAGAAGTTGTCAAGCTTGGACCTGCATTCAAACAATCATTTAATGATGGCCCATCAATAGATGCACTAGCATCGAATACCATGCGTACTTTAGTAGTTGATTTATCATCTCTAACCACAGGTCGATGTGGTAGATAATGCACATTACCAAATTTAATTTTATGATTATTTACTTCTTCAATAACACCTTGACACAATTGTTCTTTAATAATTGAATTGTAACTCATAAGTAGTTTATTGTCTTTACTAAGCTTTTTGAGTACAGGTGCCAAACGTTTGATACAATAAGTATAGTTATCACTAATTAAATCATGGTTTATTTTAAATGGTAAACTAACTTCATAACGTTTAGAATGTTCATTAAATTGAATTTCCTTTTTAAAGTTCTCATATACTACGTCATTAATTTCAGATGTTGTTGTGCCTATGGCTTCAGAATCCCAGAAGGACAACATAGAATTGTTAAATACTGCTTAGTCACTACTAAATTCAGAAGAAACTTTTAAAACATGAGAGTGAAGCTACACTACAATTATCTGAGTTTCCAATAACATTGCCACTTAACAAAAAACCAAGCTTAGACTTGAGAGCAACAGGACCACCAACACCTTTAATTACTTCATTTTCCACAAAGGACCAATAAAAATCTGCACCAATAAGGATATCCACACGAACATTTTTATCAGTACAATTTCTTTCTGCTAATTTCAATCCTTTCAAGTGACTATAGTGTTTAATGGCAAACTCTATATTCTGTCCATTTATCGGAGCACATATTTCTTTCACGTAACATGAGACACGTATGGACATATTATTTATATCGAGAATGCAAAATTGAACCTTATCCAGAGTTTCAGTCATACATTTATTACCAAATGTTTTAATAATTATTTTCTTCTGATCAATGGTCTTTAAATCAAGTCTTTTTCGAATAACTGGTGAGATATAGCTCAACTGAGAACAGTTATCAAATAAAATTCTGCAATTTCTTAATTCAGTAGATCCTGATGTTACTGTAACTAAAGCTGTTTGTAATAAAACTGAATGTCCTTTTGATGCTTCAGCAACTGAAGTAAGTTGACTGTCCGATGGTTGTAATTGATGTTTCTTTTCACACATAGCAGCATGATGTCGGCTCGAACATTCATAACACTTTATACGTGATAAACACTTTGAGGAAATATGTCCTATACGTAAACAAATAAAACAACGTTTCTGATCTTTTAAAATTTTCCTTCTTGAATCTAATTGTGTCACTGATTTAAAATTATGAGGAAGATGATCTTTATCACAGAAGATGCATTTATTAAAGTTTTCATTATAAGTATTATGTCTTCTATCGTGAGGAGAGCTAAAGCTTTTCTTATTATTATACAAGGAACTTGAGTGCAATGTCTCAATTGATAAAGGTCTTCGATCATAAGCCGAATCGTTTATGATTGACTTTTCTCGTGCATGCAGTTCAGATTTAAAAATGTTAAGAATTTTCTCTATTTCCCAAGAGTCATTACCTTGGAATTGTCTTGATATTATTAGGTTCAGTTCTTCAGGAAGTTTTTGCATTAAATTTGGTATGAGTAATGGACCATACATAGAAGAAGTAATATTAAGATTTTCTAAATTACGTATTTGAGCTTCCTGGTTGTCATAAGTTTTTCGAAGCATTGATACATTTTTAATATTAGTAATTTTATCCAATAAAAGTAAAGAATTCATATGAGTTGATATAAATTGTTGTTTGTTGTTGTATCTTTCTTTGAGTAAGTTCATTGCAACATCAAAATTATTATTAGTTAAAGCAAGTTCTTTGATATTCGATAATGCCTGTCCTTCAACTAAACTCCGAGGATAAGTGAGTTTTTGGATACCAGATAAATTGTTATTATTAATAATTGAACATTCAAAATTCTCATAAAATGATATCCAGTTATCTTATCTGCCATCAAAAGGTTTTAAAGTAATTTGAGGTAGTTTAACAGAAGACTTTAATTTATTAGAAATACTTCCTTCATCGACTTTGGAAAAATTATCTTTTTCTATAAACTTACTAATCAATAAAATGTTTCTTCGAAAGTATAAAGTGAATTCGGTTAAAGTATCTTCTTCAATATCTAGTTCTTCGTCATCCTCAATAAGATATATAATTTCCTCATTAAATTGTTTGACTTTTTTAAACTTTTCAATAAGTGTGTTATGAAAACTAGCTAGTTCCTCTGCTGCACTGTCAACAGAATTATAAGTTTCCATGCAAGCGAATGCTTTTTCAAACAATTTTTTAATGGAATTAACATTACATGACCTAAATCGCCGTTTGTTAGTTAAGATATTAATCTTTTCTCCCGAATCAATATATCGGCTATAGTTATTAAGGATAGAGATATTGATCTTTTTTATAAAAAAATTTTTTTTTTGTGGTCCATTCAGTACAAGGGTTAGTCCATTTAGTACAATTAACAGTACTGAATGGACCACTAAATAATTTGCTACGGATCACATTTATCGCACATTTTGCCTATGTTCTGTTAGCGCAATGAACAACTTTTAAGGATTGTTAGTTAAGATATTAATCTTGACTTCTGAATATATTCGCCATAGATGTTGAGAATATGGGAAAAAAGTATTTTTACAAAAAAGTTGAATTTTGTGGTCCATTCAGTACCACTATCCCCTAATGGTAAAAATTAACAAAAAGATTTTGCCGTTAAATTTATGATTAATAAATGTTACTTTATACAGAGAAGAACCTATATATCCAATTCAACCTGTCTAACTTTATTTGTCTTTTGTTTAGTATTTTATGTTATTTCTCTTATTCAAATAAAAAATTGCAGTCATTCTTTTTCAATTAAAAATTTGCAAAACAAATTTTATAGATTTGTTGTAGCAATGACAATTTTACTAATAAAAAGCACCAAAAGTGGGAAATCAAGTATAGATCTCGTATTGTTAATAATATTTTTATAACAATTTCCAAAAAGAAGTTACATATTCATTGAGTAAAGATCAAGTAAAAAAATTACAAAAAAGGCTAAGACAAAATAAATACTCCTTTTAAAAAGGTATTTCTTTATTTATTTTCAATTATAAAAAATACCAAACTACAAACCTTTGATTTTTAATCAATGAAGAGTTTTGGGTAATCTTAGCAACATGTAAGGTTATTTTTAGTAGCATGTTGGTATGTGTTGATATAGCAATCTGAGAGCCTATTCAGAATCCAGCACAAAAGAGTGTAAGTACTCAAATAAAATCTAACTATTATTAAACCATTTTAATAAAATAAGAATAAACCAATTAAAGTGCAAACAAGACTCATAACCATAACGAAAATTAAGTTTTTATACTTGAGCCGTAAAAAAACTAGCCTCTTAATTTTTAAGGAAAATGCAACATATCAGGCCGTGTAATTTAAGTAGGCCTAGTGTGCGTTGCGGCACATGCCTTAGTCCTTTAAGAAAACTTTTGTCCCACTAATGCTTTCAATGAAGTTTAGGGAAAATTTTCAATCTTTAGCAGCAAAAGATTCCGAAGCAGCCAAACAAATTGCATCTCGAGTTATTTCCAATAAAGAAATCTTATCAATAAAAAATTTCTTACTACAGCTTCGACTGGACTTTTACTTATAATTAACCCCCGGTAAATGTTTATATATAAATAGTATTTACATATATTTATAAATTTTATTTAGGTGTCCTAAGAAGTCCTTACGGTCTTATCACTGAGCACCGCAATTGAGCATTTAATAGGAACTTCACGTCTCCTTCCTAACCGACGTTGCAAAACTCGCCCAGAGCTAGGGTTTGAACCACGGATCTATTGCTTCTGAGACAAGTGCGCTATCAATTCGCCACGGCTGCTTGAAATATAATTATTATCATTGTTATTATTATTTATTTTTTAGAACAAGGAGAAACATGTTCTAAAGGACATGTAGGCCCATGCAAAAGATGGACACTAACGGCGTTCCGTTACAAAAACTAAAAATGTACCATCACAAAAATATAGCAATCATAATGAACAGTGTTTTTTTACATTGGTTAAGTTAATTTTTTTTTTATATATAAATATTTTTTTAGTGTACAGCATCCAAATTATTCCAGATGTCAGCAATTCTGTAAGAAAAACTATACTTTTGAGTGTCTAAGCAACAATATCGTTATCAAATTTTATAAATATGACCGCGAGTGTAGTTATTGCTGTCAACATCGAAGAACAAGGAACTTTTAATACAAACAAGGTTTTTAAAATTTTTTAAACATGTTACGAAGTCTTGTTTTAGGCGCCTAACTTCAAGTGAGGCTAAACCAAGCAATTGGAGACGGTCATAACAAGTTTTATTTTTAAGGTTCCTAGTTTTCTTTGTAAATTTTTTTTGAACACTTTCTATTGATTTAATTAATCCAAATCGGTATGGCGATCAAACTGGAGAACAATATTCTAGAATTGGTCTTATATAGGTAGTAGAAGCTCTAACTAGGATTAAAGGCTCGCAAGTTTTAAAACACTTTAAAATTAGGTATGCTCTGGAGTTAGCTTGATGTACAACATTTGCAATATGTTTATTATAACTAAGGTTAGAGTCCATCGTCACACCTAGATCATTTGGGTTAGGGGACCAAGCTAAAGTATAATCCCCTAGACTATAGTTACTTTTTATACCTTCGCATAATGAAGGAGGTGCAATCCTGTGTGCGAAACACTTATTTTTAGCAATTTTTAGTTGCCACGTTTCAGTCCAGAGTACGAGCATATTTAGAACAAGAGTTAAATCTCGACCCAGACTCTGGCCCATGTCACGATAAGAACTATACAACTTGATATCGTCCACAAAATGTTTTAAAGAAGAATTAAGATTGTTTGTTAATATATAGTAAAAATAGTATATATTGACTGAAAGTCTTGAACGATTCATTTATTGATAATTAAGATAATATATTAAGAGAAATTTATTGATAATTGAGATTTTATGATGAATGTTTTTAACAAGTTTCTAATCTCTTTAAAGAGAAATAGTTTTGAAGCAAAGTTTTTTATCAACGTAAAGTATTTTTTTTTAGAAACATAAAGTTTTTAATAAACATAACGTTTTTATAAACATAAATGTCTTGGTTTTAATGCCCAGCCACCATGATGAACTCCGAAATTGCGCACTCTAGTCCTCGTAGATCTACAATTAAATATGAGCCAGTCAAACAAAGGATTTAAAAAAATTGACAGAATGTAAACTAAACATGTAGCAACAAAATGTTAAAGCCAAAATTTAAATAAATTTTCTAAGCTCTTCTCTCATGTAGTTTTTTTAACTGCAGCGACTAAAAAATAATCAATGAAAAAAGAAATCCTGACATAGTTTGGGTTGTTGCTTACATTATGATTTATCATGTCTTGTAAATCATATTATTCAAACTTGCAAAATTTCTGATGGCTATTTCGTTGAGCTAAGAATTAATGGTGGCAAAGATTTTATCAAGTTTTGTCTAAGCATTGTCAATACTGCGAAAAGAGATGAAACGAGCTCACCGCCACAACAACAACCTCTCACTTAAAAAACTGGTAAAGACACTGGAGTTAGAAGACATACTCTTGTTGCAGTAATAAAAGATTTGCAAGAAACTGACAGGACATATCTGGTCACTGATTAATGCAAGTTGAGTAAAACTAATTTTGGCTTGTGGTATGAAAGTTGAAAATATAATTTTTGGTCTTTAAACCCATTCAAGTACGCACCCTTGCACATGGTGTGACGTCAAATCCCATTGTCTTGCTAAATCTGTAAACCTGCAAACTGGAAATTTGCTAAAAATGTGAATGTAATGCTTCAACTTGCTGCTTCAAGCATGGTTCCTAACATTCAAATAAATAAAGCATTTAAAAGTTTTAATATAGTTGTCAAGACTTGCTTTGGATTCATCCTTCACGTGAAATTTTGTTGATTTGCTAAAAAAATTGAAAATTTTAAACGGTTAAAACTTTGATAACTGGTGCAAGCGTAACACTCTAAAATCACACTGCCTTCTACCACATCAAGTATTTCATCATTCACAAAGGATCCTCTAAAGTCTACTCCTTGGTGAAGTATAGTGAACAAATTGTCGAAACTGCTTATCAAAATTTTTATCAACATTGGTCAAGATATAAGTAAAACAATAATCATTAAGAGTACAAAAAAAGATTGTTGTGCGGCATAATTGAACTTGTCATTTCGGAAAAGGCACAAGTCCATTTATTAAAACTTTTCAAAATCAACAAAAAGATGGTAAGGTAACTAAACATAGAAGTAGATAAACAAAGAACGTATATAAATTATGTAAATTTTATTTTTTATAAAAAAAACATAAGTAATACAGAAATTTTTAATTTAATTTTATAAAGTAACTATTAAAAGTTTTGGACTTGTGTCCTTTTCGAAATGACAGGTTCAAATGATCTAGACAAAAAGCATCTTTAAGGAACTGCCAACATAATTTGAGTTATTATAGATTAAGCAGCGTAAATTCTTAGCTTACGGTTTATAATGAAAATTTTTACATCATCCTTAAATGCTATTAGTTTAAAAACTATAAACTTTGAATTTACATTTAAAAATAGCATTGTAGAGTACTTGTACTAAAAGAATATATTGAGCTATTTATTAACAAACAATTTTGTGGAGAAAGTAAAAAAAA